GCCTCGCCTTGCAGCTCTTGGTGGCACCCCTTGCAGGAAGCTGGGAAAAGCTGGGAATTCTCTGTGATGACTGGAGGCAGGTCACAGCAGTGCAGGAGTGTCAGGCTCTCCCAGCAGACACAATTTCAGCTGGTTCGGATGAGGAGGAGAATGTTCTCCAACAGAGAACAAACATAAAGCAGCGAGGGTGGACTGGAGTATTCCTGACTTGTTGCTTTTCTACTTGTGTTTCTTTCCTTTTTAAGTCTGGAAGGGAAAGGCAGCCTTTCCTCTGGTCCTGGAATGCCACCTTATTGTATAGACAAGAAAGAATGGTCATTTTCTCTGTTTTGGTATATGACTGGCTTCTGTTGATGCCTTGTGAAGGCTGGTCTAGAACAGAGATGAGACAGAGTTAGAGAATAAAGCAGGGATTTATTAAAAGGCCTTCATGGATCCACCTTGCGCAGCACAAGAGCCCAGCCAGGGCTGCACCCAAGATGAACCAAAATGGTCACAAAATGCACGAGCACTCCCGGGGTCTCTCACTTTGATCAGTTCTGCTCCATTTGCACATTGGAGTTCATTGTCCAATTCCAGCTTTAGCCCAGGCAGTCCCATCCTGATTGTGTTTCTCTCTTCAGCCCATGTTGTTTCTGCTCTTGGGCCTGAGATTTGGATCATTTGTCCTTGGTCCCCAGCTAGAGAAGGAATTGTTTTGTCTCCCTGCTCTGTGAAGAGAGCTCACCGTGCCTTAATGTGGAGCTCAGACCTACACACTAAAGCAGCACAGAATTGGAAACATATAAAAGCTAAACCCTGAGACCATCACTGTCTCCAGGCTTGGAAGCTGCCTGCAGATGCAAGAGCTTTAAGAGGTCAGGACATAGTTGGTGCATTTTGGCTTCTTATTGATGATGGTGGCTCATCAACCCTGTTTGAGACACTGGATACACAGGTTCTTGTTTCTCAGTGAGGAATAATCCAGGGCAGCTCCACTGTCTGAGAAAACAGCAAACTGATGGGGTTGCCTTCTGTATCCAGTTGGTGCAACTCGGCATCTACAAATGTACACTGAAGATGTAGTTGATTAAATTAATTTATTTTTTTATCAATTCTAAACTAAGACTTAAACTCATAGAAATGTGTTTATTTCCTTTTTTCCTTTGCTTTTGGCTTAAATGGCTTTTTGTCCAGGATGAGCTGAGCAGATGGAGACTGGGGGAATAAGAGCATTCAGTGCAGGAGAAGCTCTTGGCTTGGCTAAGAGGTGTGGTTGTACATGGGCACCTGGGCAGTGAGGCTGTCCTTGGCCTACCAGAGAGCTTGAAGGGGATCTTAAAGCTCCCTGAGCCTGAGGGCTTGGACATTGGGAAGAATCTCTTCACTGAAGAGTCTGTCAGGCTTTGGCAAGTTACCATCCCTGGAGGTGCCCAAGGAATGGCTGGATGTGACACTCAGTGCTCCGGGCTGGGTGGCAAGGTGGGCAGGGATCAGAGGCTGGAGTTGATTATCTTGGAGGTCTTCTCCAACCTCAGTGATTCTGTGATTCTATTCTGAGGATTCTGAGGTAATGTTCTGAACTGTAAGCAAGAAGTGCAAGCTTTTCCCTCCGTCTGTGAGACACCTCCTCCTGCCGCCCTGGCAGACAGCTTTGCTGCAGGGCTGAAAATCGGAGCCCCCATTGCTGGTCTGGAGGCGTTGGAGCTCCTTTGCTCCAGCGTGATGTGTTCCACACCTGTGGACTGTGACCAGACCACTACTTTACAGAGTAGAAAATTGTAAATGTGTGACTGTAAGCTCTGGACTTGCTGAGGTCGCTGTTTTCCTGTCAAACACTCAGCTCATGGCAAAGACTTGGAGACCTTTACGGCAGGAGCATCTGTATGCAGTTACTGTTCCCATATTCCCCGTGGCTGAGGCCTTGCACGGCTCAGCAGCAAAAGGATTTTGTTTTTGGAGACCTGAAGGTCATCTCCTGCTTCCTGCTGCTCGGGATGCTGCCATCCTCTGGGAGGAGCGTGCTGGCTGATCTGTGCCCAGCCTTCTGCCCTGCTGGCAGGATGAAGCCTCATTAGTCAGCTCTGGAGTCTCACTGGAATTGTAGTTTGTGCCTTGGTTTTTTATGTATCTGCATCAGAGAGGAGAGAGCATACTGGGAGCTCCCAGTATCTTTTCTTGTCAGTAGGTATGGAGAGGCCTTGGCTTGTTTAGTTGATTTTAACAGTGGAGAAATGCTTCTGATTGTTTGGAGTTGGCATGACATTGTGCCTTTTGCAAAATTTGGGTTCTGCATCTCAGACATTCCAGTTATGAGTGATGGAGAGTGTCTGGTAGTACATGAACCAAGCTGAAGGGCGCATGTAAGGCTCTGAGTTGGAATATTAACACAGATGGGAAGGCATGAAGTAAATAGAGCACAGCAGAGGGAAAGGAAAGCTTTGAGCCAGGAGTTCCCACTCCATGTAAATGTAACCATGGGAGAAGCAGAAGTTTGTGGGAGCTCAGTGCTGCTTTTGGTACAGGAAAGGACCAAAAATAAATGGTTTATTCACCTTTGGCTCCTGGTACTGCCTGGATTCAATTTACCTGTCAAAATCCTTGTGAAGGGGCAGGACAGTGTTGTCCACATGCCACACCATTGTGCTGCTCCCAGAGCATTTCACTACAAAAGAAACTCAAGCTGCTGTAGTTTGCTTTATTCAGACAACTGTTCTCACTACAGCCATGGAAACATACAAACATGGAAAACCTTAAAAAAAACCAATCAACCTTTCTTTTAGTAAAGCTGGAGCCTCCCCTCGTTCCCCGTAGCCCTGCAGCCTCAGTGGCAGCCAGAGCAGGGCAGCGGTGCCGGGGCGGTGGCGTTGTCCCCTGGCCAGGCTTCTGAATGGTCGAATTGCTGGGATGCAGATTGTGCTTGTAATGCAACTTCTGATGGTTCGCTTCACAGCTGAGGCGAGCCACCATTTCAAACCCCATAACGGGAGCCTTGGAGACGGCACATTACAGAATTAGCAAAAGGTAAGAGAGCTCTATGCCAGAGGTTTTGGGCCTGTCATGAGTGTGTACGTCCTGCTCATTCTGAGGAAACAAGAGGTGGGCTGAAGAGACAGCTTGCAGTCCACCTTGTGATTCCCTGCAGATCTGTAACAGGCTGTTGCTGCTGAGTTTCTCAGTCTTTTCCTTCAGCTGGAAGTTCTGGGGGCGTGTTTTGATTTGTTCTTTCCTTTTTGGTCGCCTTCTCAAGTCTGTTTTCTCAAGCAAGTCTCTGCAGTCAGTGTGAGAAATACAAGATGCCACAAAAACTTCAGTAAAATCTGGTTTTTGTTTTTAATTTCTACATTCCTTTCCCATTGCTCCTTCTTGCAACCAAGAATCGTCCTCCCTTTCTTTGGAAAATGAAGCAGACCTCAGAGTGCCTTAATGGGTGTAAGAAATGCTTCAGGTCCTTGCTGTGCACACAGACACACATCTCCTTGTCCAGGATAATCCCACACTCCCAGCTGAGCTCCTTTACCTCCTGCCTGACACAAACCTGGCAGAACACAGGCTCACTTCCACTGGGCTCCTGGTTCTTTTCAGCTTGTCCATTAAGTACTACAAGAGCTGAATTTAGCCAATGCTTTCCAAAATTGGCTGGATCTGAAAGAAACCACCTGCCCCTGCTTGCCCTCCCTTGGTTTTAGCCATGGTAATTAAAGATTGGCTGCACAGGCCATCAGCACTGAGCCAAAATTCTGGGAGGAGTTAAAGCTTCTGGGTGAGGAGGAATTGTGTGGGAAACTCAGCATCATAAATTACTTGTAGAAAGCCTTGATTTTAAACAAAAAAAAAAAAAAAAAAAGAGGAAAAATAATAAAGGGAGGAAAAAAGTGAAAGGACAATCTAACCAAATTATTCCAACCAATTTGTTATGATTTGGACATGGCAGCTGCAGCTTGTGTTGCCCTTCCAACCATTGCTAATATGCGAGCATCGCATCCGGACCAATCGGAACCCTTTCAAACACCTGGGGCTTGGCCAAAAAGCAGCCTGCAAGGTGGGTAAGCCTTGTCCTTTCTCTTTTTGTAGCTGAGCCGTGCTACTGTTCATGACCCTGAGACTGGGAAACTGACCACAGCACATTACAGAGTCTCTAAGAGGTAAGGGGAGGGGATTCCTTGTCTGAGGAAGTGTGTCCTGGGGCTGTGCTGCTTCAGCGCAGGGATTCTGTGTAACTTTCCTTATTCTTCAGCCTTTCTTTCAAAGAGAGCGGCCTAAGCAAGCTGAGCTGTTATCTAACGAAGCATGGGGTCTGCTGAAGTAGGGATTGGGTGTCAGTGGTGGCATTCCAAAGTGGAAGTGCCCCCTCTGGCTGAGCATGGCTTGTGTGCTGTGACTAACGTACTAAACGTGGGCTCTGCTGGCACTGGTGCAATGAGGCACCTCCCTGGCTCTCCTCAGCTCCAGTGCCCACGCTTGCTCAGAGCTGGGAGCTGCTGTGATTCCTGGGAGCACTGCCCATTAGAGCTAGGGGATGATTTAAAGGGATTTCCATGTTGGAATGGTGGAAGGTAGCTGCTGCCCTAATAGAAACTCAGTGTTCTTTCAGCTGCTTTGAACTTGGAATGGTCTGGAGCTGAAGGGCTTTCATTTAGCTGTGAATGTCTTCAGAAAGGTTAAAGTGCTTCCAAATATGGGCTCACCAGAAGGTGATTGATTCAGGAATGATGATAAGTCTCAGGAAAACTGGAAAACCACTGGAGCCAAGGTCCTTAAGGCCACTCTAGTGGCAAGTTGAAAGCATTTTTTTTTATGCCTCACACCTTTGCAGCACATGGGTCTGTGTGCTCATTGGCACACAGCTAGTGGGAGTCCCCTGGAAATTGTCTGGGAAGCTCCTATGTGTTCAATCCTTAAAACAGCCCTTACAGAGGGACTTTAGGAGCATTCATCTTTCCGTTGGACATGTGTTTTATTTAATTTTTATTTCTTGTTTTTAATGTTCAAGTGTGTCCATGTCTTACCTGTCTTGGTTATTTGTCACTGCGTATTTGGAAGGTTTAATTTATTCACTTGTGGGCTTTGTCCTCTGTGCCAGACAGCTCTGGAGTATTTACTGAGTAACATCCCCTCATGTCAAACTTGATGTGCTAATGATGGGAATTGGAGAAGGTGACCAGATTACTGATGGAAATTGGGATGCATAATTGGTCCCTATTTAAATAGATGAGGCTTAGTGAAATAACTTTTGATTTTGAGTTGTGATTTTTCATTAGTAGGAAGTGTTATTCCCTGAGGTAGTGCAGATGCCACAGTCACAAAAAATAGTACAAGGCACCACCCAGCATTAAAGGCCTATTAAAAAAAACCAGGATAGAGCCTGGGGAATGTGACCCTTAAATTCTTAATGAGGTTTGGTGCTCAAAAATGTGTGACTTCCTTCCAATATACCCAAGGAACTCTCAGAATTAAATCAGATTTTACTGAGCTAAGTATTCAGTGTCTCACTGGAAACTGGAATTAAAATTCTAGAGACACATCCAACAAGTTGGGGAAGGCCATTTTTTGAGGGTAGGACTAGCCTTGAGATGTGCAGCAGGGCTGCCCTTCTCCTGCTTCCCCTTGCCTTTGCTTTCCTCCATGTGCAGATTTGCACGATGGATCTGGACTTCCCAAGAGAACTTGACACCTAAATCTGGAGTAGGAGGCAGAAGCCACCCCCACCAGCCTGATTTGGAGGGCCTGTGCTGTTCCTGCTGCTCTCCTGCACTGCCAGAAACATCTTTCCCTTGGAGCTGCTTGAGCGGGTTCAGATTCCAGATGAATCATTGCTCCTGAAAACCAAAAAATGCTCACTTCATTTTTTTAATACATGACTGCTTTCCCCCTCCAAACATTCCTTCCCAGCACATGCCCTCCTAAATTACAGCATTCCTGTCTCTGAGAGAGCTACTGTTCCCGTGGTGGGACGTGGCAGCTCTGTGAAGGGAGGCACCTTGCCAGTGTGTGCAGCACCAGGATAAACCCACCCACTCACACACTGCTTTTACAGATAAAAACTCCCTTTTCCCCCTTCTCTCTCCTCCCAGCAGGCAGCCACAGCTTGCAGCATGTAATGCTAAAAGTTTCCACTTCAGAAATACCAGGCTGGGCTTTTACTCGCTCCCTGTTGTGTCTCTGCTGGTACTTTTCTGCACACCAAGTGTGGCTTAGAAGGCTTTTAAACACAAACGCTGGCATTTTGTGGCCAGTGACTTACAGAAGTAGTGTTGGGATGCAGTATCTTCTCCTAGACTGACCAGTGCAGCTGAGGAGATGAGATCTGGGGGGGTGGGGTGGATGTGCTCTTGTGTGTTCAGTAGCTCCAGAGAATTGTCTGGTTTTTCCTTAATGTACTGCTCAGTCTTTAAATTATTTCTGTGTAGAAGCATCGTGCCATTAAAAAAATCTCTGAGGTGCCTCATGCAGATTTATAAGAAGGAGGAATATGGGACATTTTGTGGCTGCCCCATCCCTGGCAGTGTCCAAGGCCAGGCTGGAGAAGGCTTGGAGCATCCTGGGATAGGGGAAGGGTGTCCCTGCCCATGGCAGGGGGTGCAATGGGATGAGCTTTAAGGTTCCTCACAATGAAGCCACATCCTGATTCCATGAGTCAATATGATTATTCCTGACTCTTTGTAATGCATGTCGAAGATGTTAAAAGCCCCCCAGTGTGAATTCAGCATGCTAATGGAAGTTAAATTTTTTATAACAGTTCAGGGATGGCTTTTTACAAAGCCAAGTAGGTCAGCAAAGCACCAAACTTGTGTGGTCAGGGAACTGGGGGGTTGTAGGGTGGTTATTAAGGAAATACCACTGATTCAGTTACAGAAGGATTTGGTATCTTGAACTGCCCTGCCTGTGGCTTCCCAGGAATTATCCCTTTTTTGTTAGGGCCCATCACAGACACAGAGGTGGCAGCTGGTCAAAAATAGGACAGAATGCAATGAACCTGGAAGTATGTAAATATCAAAAGAAAACAAACTGCTGAGCATGTTTAGGGCTGTTAATGCTGCATCTCCTGCACCACTGGTCAGGGGAATCTTTCTCTTTTTTTGTTAGACAAGGGCCGCAAAAAAAGCCAATTTGTGTGAAGAAATAGTTCTGAATGAGGCAGAGACTTTTATCAGCAAGGGACCAAGCTGGGACAGCAGCAGAGGAGGGAATGTGGGACAACTGGAATATTCTGTGGCCAGGCAAAAGCCGTGGCTGCAGCCTGCATGACACCTCCAGGGTTAAATCCCCCTGTAACTGCAGCACTCCAGGCCTCCCTGTGGTTTTGCTCAGCACCCAGCAGACAGGCTGGCACTTGGAATATGGTTTCAATTCCCTGTTCCTCCACCTTTCATAGGCTTTCTTTGTATATGGAGGCAGTTAATTTGATTTTTAAAATACATACAGTACTCCCCCTTCCTGAAAGGCTGCAGTATTCTCCCTGGTGAAGCATTCATTGCCACTTTAAATAACCAACAGAGCAAGAATGCTTGGGTTTTTCTTTCTTTGGGTTTTTTCCTTTATTAACAGACTGGCTAGAGGTAGAGCGAGCCTACACTGAAGCTGCTGGGTGTGTTGGGGCTCTTCTTGTGCCTTAAATGTGAGGTTAGGGCTGCTTGTGAGCATTACCTGGTCACTATGGCTCTGTAGCATGGCTGCTTTTAGGGATTTTTTGTTTGGTGAATGCTTCATATCCATGTCTTAGCATTCTTCTGCCACCTGAAAGCAAAGCAGGTTGTGTTGTAACATTTCCTTGTACTAACAAGTGTTCAGCAGTGGATGGGTCGGGGGATGTGTTCGTGCATGTCTGTCATGAGAAATCTGATTTCTTTTATCTCATAGTTCATTTGTAATTTAAAAACAATGCCTGTAGAGATTCTGTAACCTGTGTCAGTGCCTTGTGTCATGTGTCATGCTACTGTTCCTCCCAGGCAAAGCATTTGGGGATTTATGGGTTTTTTTTTAAATGCAATTCAAAAGAAAAACTTAATTTAGTATAGATGTGAAGACTGATTTGAGTAAAAATATGTGGATGCTGCTGATTATAGTTTCCAGCTGGGCTCTGGGCACAGGGATTTCTGTGGCAGGAAGCACTGCTGAGCCCAAAAGCTGAGTCAGCTGCTAGGAAAAAAAGGTAGCAATAGCCATCTCTATTTTCCTGCCAAAAAAAAAAAAAAAAAAAAGGAGGAAAACAAGCCCCAAATCATCAATATTATCACATCAATATTAGTGCAATGGGCTGCCAGGATAAAATGAAGTTGCAGTGGCTGGCATGGGATGAATAAAGCAGCAACAGAAACAGGCATCAGGTGAGCAGATGTGGAAAAACTCTAATACACAGTAGGAGGCAAACATTCTGAAAGATGCCTTTGGAACTGAGGCTGACCTTCCACATTAAAAAAAAAGGGGGGGGGGTTAGTTTGGGTTTCCCCCCCTTTATACAAATCATTGTGTGCCTGAAGCATGTGCTAAATACCAGATTTGTAATAGGCTGTTCTAATAGCAGTTGTCCAATTTAATGCATTATTTGATTGTTTGCAGAATGATTTTTAGTAGCACTGCAGGGATAAGTGATGAGGAAGGGCAGCTCCCAGAGAGCTGACCTGGAAGTGTGTGACATTTGGGGGAGCAGAGTTCCAGCTGCTCAGACAAACACAGCAATTCACCTGCTCCTGTCCCAAACCTTGCTTTGAAATGCATCACCCCAGGGGATGAATGAGCTGTTGGGAGTGGGATATGAGCAAAACTGTGTGTGTCTGGTTTAAAAAACAGCTTGAAGCACTGTTTGTAACACTTCCTTCAGCCCAGTGTGGGAATTCAGGCCCTTGGTTACAGAGCTCCCTTAAACCCCTACTGGATTGGTCTTTTTAGGAAATACGTTCATTAAATTCAGGGCTTTGTAACACCCTGGAAATACTTCTGGTCATGCCACCAAATCCTTGAGAAGTCCCAAAAACCAACCTCCCATTCCAAGTACCTGCAAGTGTTGCTGCTGTGCTGCCTGTTGCTGTCAGTGTCACTAACTGTCCCCCCCCAGCGCGTGGCTGTCGGGGTACGAGAGCCCGGTGGTGTCCCGCATCAACACCAGGATCCAGGACCTGACAGGGCTGGATGTCTCCACAGCAGAGGAGCTGCAGGTAAGTGGCACCACGGCCTTGGTGCTGGGTGCCAGTCAGCATTTCAGCACCTCTTGTGCTTGCTCAGGTGAAGTGGCTATAAAAATCTCATTTATTTACAGAGGGGGAGAAAAGTTGTCTTTGCAGAACAGCTGTAACTGTGAAATGGCTTTTTGGGGCTGGAAGGAAACAGTGATAACTGAAACTCTGGATGTGTAATTCCTTTTTATTTAGACAAATAAACTGAGTTTCATGGCCACAGGGTCAAATCTTAGTGCTGTTGGAGGCAGTTAAACTTTTAACTCAGGGAAGGCCACCAGTGTGTCTGATGTCCCTGGGATGTGGGAAACACTGGCTGTATGTGTAAACTGTAATTTAGAAGTGCTTTTGTTTGTTTGAGGCCTTTAAATGAGCAGCTGCCTCCCTGACTGAGGAGAGCATGAGTACCTAGAAAGCAGGACACCCACAAAGTACTTCTGAAACCTGCTGTGCTCCTTGCCACTATGTCAAGGTTCCTGGTGATAAAATGGCCAAGGATCTGGTGGAAAACTGACATTATTTTTTTATAACTAATTGGCAAGAAGGACAGGGAACCCTCTTTATTGACACAGTCAAATTCAGGTCAAAAAGTGGTCAATTTGATGATGTTAAAGCACCATCACACTGTTTTGGAGAGAGTCTGAAAAGTTTTCTGTAGAAGAAAAATTGCTTTTCTGTCCTGGGAAGCACCAGATTCCTTACCTGGAGCATCCTAGAGTGCCAGTCTTGGATGTGCTCCTGCTGCTGACAGAGGCTTGACATTTCCTGGGGCTTGGTGTTTAAATTTCATCTCTGCAAAGGCTGTAGCTGACAGTCAAACTCTTGCCTGGGTAAAGACTGATTTACTAGATCCTGTGCTTCTCCTTCCACTGTAGGTAGCCAACTACGGCGTAGGAGGCCAGTATGAGCCTCATTTTGATTTTGGAAGGGTAAGTCCTGTTTTGTCTTCACTCTTTCTTCTTCACAAGCGCTGTGTTTCTCTTTTTCAGGTGGCAAATTATGGAGTGGGAGGACAGTATGAGCCCCACTTTGACTTTGCACGGGCAAGTAAAGAGCTGGAGGAGAGCTAGACCCGGTGAAGCCTGGGCCTCTGGGCTGGGCACACTCTCTGTTCTTCAATGTGTATTAAATTCTGTAGCTCTTCCACTTTCCTAATCCATGTCCGTGGAGAAAGCCCTCTAAACCACCAGCTGAACCTGTGGAGGTTGCTACCTGTAAACTGAGTGCCAGCAGACTCCTGACAACTGGAAAAAGTCTTATCTCACTGTCCTTAATTTTTTAATTGGATTTAAATTCCCCACCAGTTTTATTCCAGCTTAAATTGCAGACTGCTGAAATTCAGTTGGTTATTTACTGGGCATAATCTGTGTGGTTTAACCCCTTCAGATTAACCTTAACCCTGCCAATCCCAGCCACCAACTCTGAATCAGGATCTCTGCTCTGTAAGCACCTGCTCCAAGGCATTGCAAGCAATTAACAGGTTTTGTTTGGAAACACGAGGTTCCCAGGAGTAACAGTTGCTGGAATTTCAATGCACACAAACTGTGGTCACAGGGGGTGGGTTTAAAAACAGAGGTGTGACAGAAATTGGTATCAAAACTCCTCAAAATGGGGGGTTCATTCTTTTAAGTCAAGTGCTGGACACCTCTTAGTTGCCTGGTTGGTCACTGAGGCTTCCTCCCTGCTTCCCAGCTGGAATCCAGAGTGGAGTGTGGCAGGGAGGTGTCCCAGCTGACCCTGGGTCTGAGAGCTGCCCTGGCTGCTGCCAAGGACAAGGGGGATGAGGTAATTAAATAATTCAGTTTGCTGTGAGGAGGATTTATAGCCTCAGCCTCAGACAGCACAGTTGTTGTTACCCATTAGAAATCTGGGCTTAATGCCCTCCCTCCCTGTCCTACAGAATTTCAAAGTGCCTGGTTTATTTAAATTGATAGATTCACTCCTATTGCATTCCTCCCCTCCTTCCAAATCGAGGGGTTGGATTAATTCTTCTGCATGAGTCTGTTCTGTGCTGCTGGCTCAGCAGCTGTGTGTCACCGGCTGCTCTCGGCAACCAAAAAGAATCTGATGGAATCTGCCTGCTTTTGTTCACAGAAAGATGAGCCAGATGCTTTTAAAGAATTGGGAACAGGCAACAGAATTGCTACTTGGTTGTTCTATGTAAGTGATACGTTTCTGCCATCTGTCACTGCATATTCTATACCATGGAATGATGTAATTCTGTTTTTCTTTCATTCTTTTTTACTGAAGGGACTTGCAAGTGAAGCAGCCACTAACTTTGTGTTAATACATATGGGGGGGGGGGGGGGGTTACCCAGATTTTGTGGCTCTTCCATGTGTTTTAAGGAGGATTTTTCCCCCAAATTTGAGCATTAGCTTAAATTATTTGCCTGCCTGTTATTGTGTTTACAGCATGTTCACTGCCTTAACACTCGAGTGGGAGGGACAAGGCTGGGACTGCACTGAGAACAGAGGGGGTTTGGCCTTCTTAGGGGATTTATGTCAAAATTAAATTTCATTTTTACTAAAAAGTGAGATTTTATCAGCCTGAACTCACCTGTCCTTCCCCACCTGTTCAGATGAGTGATGTGTCAGCAGGGGGAGCCACGGTCTTCCCTGAAGTGGGAGCCAGCGTTTGGCCGAGAAAGGTGAGCAGGACTGATCCAGCAGATAAATCCACTCCTCCCCACCTACCCAAAAACAGAGCTTGAAAATGAACCTTTAAAATAATTGTAAGCACCTCTGTGCTGTCATAACAGTGCTATGATTTTCCTTAAGTGCAGCAACTGGAGCTGTGCTGCTGATTCCAAGGGCCCTGACAGTCCATGTGTGGATGCAAATGCAAAACATTTAAATACTCCAAAACACATATTAAATATACTCAAATCTGTGAGTTGATTGAGTCTTGACGCATCTGTAGGAAATTCTCCTGTCAGTTTTTTCCTTCAAGCAAGGCTTGCATTTACTGGCCTGCTGCTCAGCTTTAGTAAAGAATCTTGGCTTTCTTAACACTGGTCAGGAGTTGAATTAAACTGGCTTAGGATTTACAAAAAAGAAAAAATTAAGAGCCAAGTATATAGACATACAATAAGTCACAGGAGACTTATTCCTGAGGAAACACATGATAGAAGACCGAGAAGAGCCTTCAGTTTTAAAGGAGGCTCTGAAACACAAATGCACCTGCCTTTGCCTTAGTGTGTGTTGTACAGAGCACACACTAAGGGTGAGTGTTCCCTGCCATTCCCAGGGAACAGCTGTGTTCTGGTACAATCTCTTCCCGAGTGGAGAAGGCGATTACAGCACGCGACACGCAGCCTGCCCGGTGCTAGTGGGAAATAAATGGGGTGAGTACCTGCCCCTGACCTGAGTCTGGGCTCTTCTGGAGGGGGGTGGCTTGGCTTTATTTTTCCTTTGGACTCCAGAAATTACATTATTTGTAAAGAAATATATTTAATTTACTTTATCTGCCTCATATCTCTCTATATGTTAAATATATTCTATATAGTAGCATACTTCATTATGTGTATAAAGGAAATTAATACTATATCCACTTTAAGACTTTTTGCAGCTCTGTCTACTTTAAGAGTTTTTGTAGCTTTGCCACCATACTGGAAGGGTTTTTGGTGGTTGGTTGGATCTAACCTCACAGATTTGTGTGTGGCAGTGGGGGTTGGAATGAGAGAGTCTTTTAAGGCCCCTTCCAACCCAAACCATTCTGTGATTAAAACCCTTTAAAAAATTAAGATAATCCTGTGCTTAACCAGAAGAAGAGCTGGCCATGTGCAGTGACCCAATGCCTTTGTGTCTTTGCAGTCTCCAATAAGTGGCTCCACGAGCGGGGGCAGGAGTTCCGCCGGCCGTGCACGTTATCGGAGCTGGAATGAGGCAGCCTGGGCTCCTGAGTACTCAGGGTGTGGGAAATGCACACACCTGCCAGTTTACAACTGACTAACAAACACTCCACTACAGGTTCACCCCGCCCAGCTCAGCTGTGGACAGGACAAACGTGCTTTTGGTTCCCTCCAAATCCCCACCAAGGTTTATCAACAGAAAATACTGAGGTTGACAAGTGTTACTGGAAAAAAAAAAAAAAAGGACAAAATACAGATGAGGGCCACAACTTACAGTGGTGTTGTGTGTGGTGTTCCTGTCACCATCATCCCTCTGAACAGTGCAGGCAGCCAGGGGTTGTCTAGAGTCCTCCTCACACCTGCCAGGCTTAGGGCAGGATGATTGTGTGGGAGGGCTCCCTTCTAAGGAATGCTGAATCAAACCCATTCCTTTCCTCGATTCCCAGACACTTGACTCTCTGCTTTCCAAGAGTGCCTGACCACTGCAGGCATGCTTTGTTTTTTAATCTCTGGAAAACAGGTTGTCAGCATGTTTTAGCCTGGTTTTCCACTTCCACAAAAGCCCCATTTTTTAAACTTGTCTTCCTTCTCAGCCTGGGTGGAGAATTTGGCTCTTAATCTTGACCACATGAGCCAGCAGTTCCACAGGCAGAGGCAGGATGCTTCCACAGTGTCAGAGCAGCCTGGGAACGCCCACAGCCCATCTCCCCTCCTCTTCTGCAATGTTTGTCCACATGAACAAATGCTGCTTTTGTTCTGTCCTGGCAGCCAGCTCTTCCCTCTGCTCCTTGGGCAGCAGGGATGGGGATGTTCCCATCTTCGTTAATCAAAATTGTTGTGCCTTAGGACACTGGAATTTCAAATTGGTTCTGAGACTTCAGGTGCTGAGGTAACACAGAGTCCTCACAGAATGCTCCCTGCCCTCATTCTCCTCCCAGCTCTCGAGGTTTCAGGAGAAATTCTCAGCCTACTTATAGTCCTGAACCTTTTTAAGATGCAGGCTCACTTTCCTGAATCCTTTCCCTTCCACAGCAGGATTTTTAGCAAAATATCCAAATAATCTCACTAGCATGAGGACAAAAATCAAAGGAAGCTGCACCTGCCTCTACCTAAACAGTTGAATTTTCTGGATGATGATGATTTTACTGATTTAGGGGTCAAGCCTGAAGTCTTTACCAAGGGAAAAATTCCAATTTTGGTTAATTAGATTTTCTGCCTCAATAAAATCTTGACAGTTGAGCCAAAACATACAAAATCAATTATTAAATGTGCTAGAAATACCTCTGGATTACTGGGAATGCAGTTTAAGGTACTATAGTTGGAGGAACTGCATACTTTCAGAAGATACTTTAAAAGGTCTTTGCTGGGAAAAGAATTGTTACATTTCTACTGAGCCTGGTAGCAGTGGGGCCCACAGAACTGCCCCTCCTTAGCCCTGCACCTTCCTGAATTTTGCCTGGCTTTTGGCAGCTGGAAAACAAGGTCCATCCATAACGTGAGAACACAAAGTCTGCACAGTCCCACCTCACATCTGTACTGCTCATTTACCAAGAGCAGGAGCTGATCTAAATAAATTCACCCCAGAGCTGCATTAGCAGAGCTGATCTTCAAGCACTAAATGGTAATTATTTAAAAAACCCCAAACCCATAAGATTTGTGCCTACCTGAGTTTTCTCACTTTTTTCATCTGTCTCTCTTCCTCTCCATTGTTCACTCTTTTCTCTTTCCCATCTCTTAGTTTGTTAAGCTCCAAAAAAGTAACCATGGCTGCAGGTACCTCCCACCATGTTCCTGCAAGTAAAAGGGGACAGTGAACAGTGGAAACAGTTGGGAACTGCCTTTGGGGCATCCATAAATGCTTGTAGGGAAGCCAGTCCGACCTAGTAAAGGAGCACAAAACAAAATCCCTGTATTGCCATCAGGAACAGGTATAGAAAACACCTGCATTTGCTCTTACTGTCCCATCTCTGTTCAACAGCCACCAAAGCATGAAAAAAGCCAGAGTTGAGGAATTTTGCTCAGCAGTTCCCTCCCTCACTTCAATACCAGTGAGTACTTCCAGTGTTAAACAGCATCAGTCTCTGGCATTGCTTGGGGAGTACAAATGTTCTGGTGCACAACTTTTTAAAGCAGTAAACCACTCACAGATAATTCTTCAGGAAAGAATTTTCTACTTTTGACAGTAGAAAATTTTGCTTGGTTAAAGAAAAAAAAAAAAAAACCAAAATTAAATCTCCAGTCTGCTGGGACACATCAAGAATGTTCCAGATTATGACAACAGGGTTGGCTTAGGTTTTTAAACTGCAGACAATCCCTATTTCCTCTCCCTCCACTGCAGTGGTGTCCATGCATCCAACGCTGATTGTGTAAGGGATTACACTGGTGCTGCTGCTTCTGCCTTATCCCATCATTTCTCAGAGGGCTTTTGGATCCCCATTGTGGCTCCTGTGTGAATCTAGTTTTGTATTAAACGTGATTGAAAACTGTCTGGGCTCACAGTGACTGACAACTGCCTTACTGTTACATTTTTTTGTAATAAATTTTTTAATGTAAAAAAAAAGAAGTGAATAGGCTTAAAATAAAAGCCACTGCCATTAGCAGTGAGAAATCCTCCACATCCAGCTCTCCTCGTATGTGGCTGCTATGAATCTGATCACACAGAGTTTTATTACCATTTGTGGAAACCATTTCCCTTCACCATCTCACTAGGCAGGTGCAGGAGAGGCTCCTACCCAAATTCCTGTTCAACACTAAAACTTTGTATCTCCACTGGGAACACACAGCACTAAAGGACTGCAAGAGGGGAGGGCAGATAATGCTGGGCTGAACGCAGGGTCAGCTGCTGAAGGTCCCTTTTCCAGGGGTGACAAATCTATTTAATGAAGCCAGAAGGTCAAACAACCACTTACCCTGGAATGGTTCTAGGGAGGGGAAGAAAACACCAGAGACTCCACGAGCACAATAAACTCACATGTAGGAAGGTCAGGCTGGCCTCTTCCACGACCCACACCTCTGGGGTCTGTACACCACAGCCATTCCTGGGCTTCACCCTGCAGAGCAGTGGAGCTTGTGCTTAATTCCCATCCTCAGGAACCTGCAAAAAGCACAGCAATGGCTGCTGAGAGGCCTGGATCCCTTTGCCTGTGGAACGGAGCTGTGTGCTGCCCATGGAGCACTTGGCTTGCAGGCAGGGAGGGCATTGCCCCAACACAGCTGATGTGACACACATTTGAAATAAGCCTGAAGTGCAGCAGCACTGTTAAATTTTGGAACGGTGATGGGGTTCCACCTCCAGCCACCCTGTGCTGCTGAGCTGCTGCCCTGCCCCTGGCAAGACAGGCCTGGGAGGAAGGGAAAGGCTCTGGATCAGCCCTGTCCCACCCTGACTTCCCACCATCCTACCTGGGCTCTTCTGGCACAGCTGCACCTCAAGGGTGACCATGGGGGGGTCACCAGCATGGGAGGAACCCAGCAAGGGTAAGGACCACAGCAGCTGCAGCTGAAAAGGCAAGGTAAGGTCAGAGATAGGTAAGGCCTGTGAATGTCACAGGGCAGGATAAGATGAAGAAAAAGGGTCTGACGGGATCACAGAATCCCAGAATGATTTGGGTTGGAAGGTACTTAAAACTCATCTAGTTCCAATCCCTGCCATGGGGAGGGACACCTTCCACTATCCCAGACCTTGTCCAACCTAGCCTTAGATACTTCCAGGGACAGCCATAGCTCTTCTGGGCAGCCTCCTCAGGGCCTCACCACCCTCACAATATAGAATTTCTTCCCAATATCCCCATCTATCCCTGCCCTCTGACAGTTTGATGACCTTGTACCTTGTCCTGTTACTCCAGTCCGTCTCCAGCTCTCCTGGAGTTTCTTTAGGCACTGGAAGGGGCTCTGAGATCTCTGCTGTTTTCTCTTTTCCAGGCTGAACAATCCAGCTGTGCAGCCTTTCCTCCCAGCAGAGCTGCTCCATCCCTCTGCCCATCCTGGTGCCTGCCCTGGGCTCTCTCCAGCAGCTCCAGGTCCTTCCTGTGCTGGGGCAGCTCTGCAGGTGGGGTCCCAACTGAGCAGGGCAGAGGGGCAGAACCTTCTCCTGCAGCTGGGGGAAGGCAGCACAATGCTGAAGGATTCCCAGAGGGATGGGACCTGTCCACACACTTGAGCTCCACCCCATGAGGGAGGGGGTCTTTAACCACCCCACCCACCCTCCCCTGGCAGCCAGACTCTGACCTGGCTCGGAGGACTTGAGGATTTCACCACTGACCCGCAGCTCTCCTCATTGTGCTCCCAAACCGGGCTGTGGAGCAGCCACGGATCCCCCACTAACCTGAGCCAGCACCAGCAGCTCCCTAAGGCAGCCAGAGCCGATGGAAAAGAGGAATGCAGCACAGGAACTGCAGCTCGGCTCCTGATGCGGGGCCAGGAGGGCTTTTGCAGCTCCATCTGTGAGGGGCTCAGTGCCCCAGGCGCGGGGACACAGGAGCGCAGGGACAGGCCGGCTGCAGTCACCTCTCCCTGCCAAGACCTGGCAGCGTCCCTGGGCACGCCTGACTCACCGCGGCCCGGGGCTGCTCTATATTTAAGCATTACGGAGGCAGGAATGAATGCACGCAGTCAGGAGCTGCCTATCCCGAGGTCAGCACCCGGTTAAGGCACCGGTTGTCAGAGTTCACCTCCGTGGCAAAAAGCATCTGCACCCCTTAAATCTTCAGAGAGAGAAAAGCTGGTGCAGGGAAAGGGTTTTTGTAACAGAACCTGCAGGGCCCACTGCGCACATCCACGCTCCTCGCTGCTGCAGCTGCTCAGCCACTCCCCCAGGGAAAACTGGAGCTCGATTTTACCCAATCCCACATTTTTCCTGGTCTTCAGATCTTGCAGTCTGGGTGCAACCGAGGTATTTGCAGCTGGACTGAAAAGCTCTCAGGAGACTGGCTCAGGGAGGGAAGGAAGGAAGCAGAAGGAAGGAAGGAGAGTGGCTCATCCCCAGGGCAGGGCAAAGGGGCTGCCACGTTATGGAAAAGCAGTTAAACTGCTTTTTACTCACCAACCTTTGCTTCGGGACAAGTGACAAACTAACAGGAAAGTTTCTGACTCCTCTTTACTCAGGCTCTGTCCTCTGCCAGCTGCTCCCTCTCCCCGCCCTGTTCGGCTTTCCCAATTCCAATTGATTTTGCAAACAAGCCTGGGTGCTCCAGAGCCACCAGCTCCAGGCTGCATGCCTTGCTCATGCCACATTCCCTGTGGTTTGCCCCCTCTGCAGTCCTGCCAGCATCTTTTCCCTCTCTCTTTGCCTTCAGCAGCACATGGATCAGTCAGCAGGGACCGAGGGATGACAAAGAAAGCTGGGTTCTGCAACTGCCTCCAGAACAACCCTAAAAGGCTCTACATAAAAGCAGGACACCATGCACAGACACCCAGAGGCTCTTACACGTTTCCAAGCTATTCCCGAATAGCTGTTTCACTCTTTTTTACATTAATTTCTGCCAGGCTGTTGGCAAAGGCTGGGAGCACTGGGACTGTGAAATGGAGTGTCAGGCAGGGCAGGGACTGAACCAAAGGCTCCACTCACTGCAAGACACAGCATGGGACTCCTGAATCCAGTTTGCCCTGCACTGGGGCACTGACAACAAATTCCAGGGACCATTTCCACCCATGACTGACAGAGCAGTCCCCAGCATGGTCTGAACAGCAGGAGAGGCTCAAGCTCTCCAGTGTTCCTGCAAGGAAGTCCTCACTTCCCCAGCACTCCCTCTGCCATGTGCCAGGGGTGACACAGATGTCACAAAAGGCTTACTCGAGGCAGGGATTTGCTGATTCGCAAGCTGCCAACCTCCCTTTCCCAGTGCTCTCTGCATCTGGGTTTATTTCCCCAAAGGCAAAGCTGGTTTGAGGTTCCCCTGGGAGCTCCTGCACTAATAAATGTCCCCTCGCCCCTAAGTCAGCCATGGGCCTCAGAACGGGTGGAACAAGCAGGCAGAAGCTGCCTCCACACCACTGCTCAGGAGAGGGACTAACCAGCTTGTTTGCTTCCTTCCCCACTTCTCTGACTTACCTGTCTAAGAAACCAAGACTTGGCTGTAGTTCCCTCTCCTTATGCCATGTCTGGAGCTCATCACCCAGGGCCATGTGCAGAGACACAGGCACTGCCATGGAGCTCTGGCCCTTCAGAAGCAGCAACGCTGAGGGGCTGAATCTCCTGCAAAACTATAAAATGCCAGAATTTGCATTTGTGCTTGGCATAGATTTTAAATGCCTGCAGCCCAGCTCCTCCTGAGAGGCAGTGCTGTGCTGGAGCACATCTGAAAATCTAAGAGCAGCCAGAACCTTCCTACACCATTTCCCTTCTCTATTCCTTGTCAGTGGTTTGCTTTGTCTTTTGCTGTTGGTGTTCACTTGGTTTCTTTCTTTTTAATGAGCAACTTTGAACCCTCCACCAGCTGAGCAGGTCCCTGGGTCCTGGCAGACCTGTCCCACTCCATAGCCAGGACCTGCAGCTGCCCCACAGCCCGTTCTCTGGCTCAGGTCTCAGTGCCAACCTTTCCTCCTGGGTCACCCGTGCTACACATTTAATTTACATTACACAGGAGCTGTAACAACCAGCTGGAACATCAGCCACATCAAAGGCAGTACTCACCTACCACACTGATCCTGGAACTGGAGGTGATGCCAAGGATTGCCAAGGAATTACAGACTCCTGAATGGAGGCTTTGTAACCCCAAACTACTCCAAGCTGCTGGACCAACCCCTCTGAGGCTCCGTGGGCCCTTGGGATTTGCTAGGCGCAATACACCCAGCAGCTAGGCTGGCTGAAGCTCCCATCCCACCCCTCCATGTGCCCAGGAGGCCTGGGGAAAAGGCAAGGGGTGCTCCTCAACCTGTCTGAGCAGCAGAAATTTTGGGCAGAGAGATACTCTTCACGTCCCAGCAGGCTGGGGAAGGAGTGAGGTGGCCCATGCAGCATCCTCGGGGGACAGACCCCGCTCAGGGGCGAGGGAAGGGTTCCTCTTGGGGAGCTGCAGCCCTGGTGCCATGGGGACCGAGCGTGTCCCAGCAGGATTGTGCAAACTCCCAGCTCCGGGAGCCGAACTCCCTCCGTATCTCGGCGCTGCACTTTGCACCCCGGCTGCCGTGACCTCACGCCGGCTCCCGGGGCAGCGTTTAAAGTCCAGGCAGAGCGGAGCCACTGCCTCCTACCCACAGCAGCACATCCCGCTGCTGCTGCCCCTCTGCCTGCCCGGGGCTGGCACCGCAGCGCAGCATGCGGCTGCTGCTGGGGGCAGCGCTCCTGTGCCTCACCCTGCGCCCGGGGCAGGGCTCCGAGGAGGCAGCACCGCACAGCCCCGGCCAGCAGGACTCCCAGGCACAGTCATCCTTTTCCGACTGGGGCATCGACACCATCCGGGATGGCTTTGAAACGGTGAACAGCTACTTCGACTCCTTCTTGGAACTGCTTGGGGGGAAAAATGGAGTCTGTCAGTACCGCTGTCGATATGGTAAGTGATCATCACTGCTGCTGGCTCCTCTCTCCTCTTCTCCTTCCCTGCGGCCACGACCAGCCCCTCCTACCCCCGAGCTGTTCCCGGCAGTGCTCAGGGTCACAGCCTCTCTGCCAGTGCCAGCACAGGGACACTGAACCCCCTTCCCCAAGAGCAGCCTGCTCTGCAGGCACCGCACAGCAGGGCAGGCTGCGGCTTTCCCCGGGCTGTCCCTCTGCCCGGACAGCACAGGGAGGGGAGGCTGAGCCAGCTGCCCTAATCTCAGCAACCTTCGGAGTGCCTTATCCTGCAGCGGTGAGCTGGCCGGTGCCGTGGGCTGCAGGAGGAGAGATAACGGGGGACAAACCACACGTCACTGGGAGGCACCTTTAGTACTCAAGGCAGAAGGAGGCAGCTCCTGCTTGCTTTGGACTTCACTTTTCGGTGATTCACCCAAAAGGATTAGTTTGGTTTGTCCTGGGGGCAGGATGAAGGGGGTGACATCACTGGGTGCACAGAGCTGCAGTCTGTGGGGTGACAGGGCCACAGGCAGCACTGGCCATCACCAGGGTACCTGTGGGAACGACCTGCTTAGGAACCAGCCAGGAGTTTTCCCACAGACTATCCTCTCCTCAGCCTCCTACAACTGTCCCACAGCAACATCTTGTCCTGTCACCTCAGCCTGCCCAGCCACAGCTGCCTGCCAGCCCCTTGCCCCACAGCTTCACCCCACACCCTTAGTGACCACCTGGGAAAGATGCTCATGAGCACAGAGGGATTTCAACCCCTCTCCTCCCCGGAGCACTGTTTTGCACAGACAGACTTAACCCTTTGGGGAGACCCCACTGACTCTGTCTCAGTCTGTATCGATCCCGTGGATCTCCTGCTCTTCCCAGGCCAGCAGCCAGGGCACTGGGACAAAGAGATGCTGCAGGGCAGGGACCTCAGCTCCCTGCCAGGGGCAGAGGGGCCATAAGAAGTTCAAAATCAGTCTGAAAGTTGTGAAGTTTTTGTTCTGTTTCATAACTAATGTCACAGAAACACAGAACAGGCTGAGTTGGAAGGGACCCATCAGGATCATTGATTCTAACTCCCAGCCCTGTGACACCCCAAGAGTCACATCCTGTGAAAACGTTGTCCAGACACTCCTGGAGCCCTGGTAGCCATGGGACCACTTCTCTGATGACCCTGGAAGTGCTTCCAGGGCTCAACCACTTGCTGGATGTAAAACCTCTTCTGAACATCCATCTAATGTGTATATATGTGTCCTCCCCCCTCCTGCCAGCTCTGCTCCCAGGCCCCACACTGAGAACAAACAGAGAGCAGCAAGCTCAGCCCCATGGGATGGAGGGAGCCAGGTACCCAGCCCACCACCACAGTCCCACAGTGACTCTGGTCCCTCAGCTGGGGATCTTTCAGTCCTCTCTACAGCAGCTCAGGAAGACCATTTGTGTCCCCAGTGCCTGGAGGATGAGGTCCCCAGACCCTCCAGCACCACCTCAGCACACAGGATGAGCTCATCAGGCAACCTGGCCCATGCACAAGGTGTGGCAGTCCCAGGCCATGTGTGTCACAACCTCCTAAAAGTGCACTCCATGCTCCAAATTCAGAGCAGAAAGGGACTTGCCCTCCTTAATGTAGAGACTGAAACTCCTGGCAGTGGGAAAAACGTGGCTGGGACTGCAGTGGGCCTGAGGTAATGATGATATTCAGAGCTGGTTTCACGGAGCCTCAGGACTTACCTCATCATGCAGGAGTTACTGCTTTTGGACACATCCAGAGGGCTATCCTTGCCTGTCCTTATAAAAATCATCTCCAGAGAGCAGCACAAATCCCTGCTCACATCCCAGGAGCAACCTGCATCTCAAAGGAACAGCGTTTTACCTAGAAAGGAAAACAAGCCCATTGTTAGCCCAGTTCTCATCCTCTGCTGAACAGCTCATTAATAACTGCCTGAAGGAGGACACTACTGAAATGCTGCCCATGTGGCTCCAAGGGGCTTGCTGGACCCTTCCTTGCTAATCTCTGGCACAGACATTGCAAACTGGAGAGGATGCCAGGATGGTCCCAAATCAGTGAGATCTGGTCCTTGCTCAGAAGGGTGAACATATATCATCTTTGTGCTGAATTCAAGGCCTGATTGTATTTTTTCCCCAGGCATGAAACAAAAATTCCTTCTACTTATTTCCATTTCAGCCAAGAGATACCAATAATAGCTTATTTTGCCACGATAAAGGTCAGGACTCACCTGTGATTGCCACATCCATCTTCAGCTGAACACTTGGCAGTTCCAGCTGTAAGACTCTCCTGATTTTTCAGCAGCTACTGAGGTCTGAAAACAACCAACTTGATGGATAACTCCCTTAAATCAGGACATTAGGGTTACACTAGCATTTACTGGCAAATACCCCCCTGCTTACAAAGTCTCACTGGGCATCTCATGGGAAACAAACAGCCTGGGCTGGGAGTGAAGCCCTTGTAGCTTCCTCCTGGCCAGACAAGACTTCACTGCTTTGCTCAGCCTTTGGTCCTGAAGGGCTTCAGAGGAGGGGGCACCTCCAGGCTGTGGGAAAAGAGCCTTCAAAGCCAGGCTCTCTCCAACAGGGCACACAAGGCTGGGTGAGTGCAGGCACCTCTGCTCAAAGCCTGCCTGCCTGGGGCACACAGACAACAATGGACCACCCAAACAGTGCAAGGAGCCCTGAGACCATCCATTCACCCAAAAATACACTCAGCTCCCCCAGCCAATGTCCCAGCGCTGCATTGCCAGCAGCTGTTCAGCCAGCTGGCTGCTTTCCAGCCTCTGGGAACAGCTACAACAGCCTGAGGGCATTAAAATGCATCAGGGACACTCAACTTCAGTTCTAGGGCTGTGGCAACAAGGCAGTGGCCTGCAATCTATCTTCTTGCCTGTAAGGATGGGCAAGCAATAAATGATAACAGGGACACTGAGTCAATGCTTGTAGAGAGGCAGGAATGCCTGATATTCCTGTTTGGCTTTTCTCCTACCTACAAAACAAGATGTGGGAGAGAGGTTAACTGTGGTGTCTTGGACTTGACCTAGCTGAGAAAGAGTACAAAGGGGCACTTTATAAGTTTAAAAGCTCTGCTTTTCAGAGGGGAGGGGACAAGTTTCCTACAAGGGCTTATCCTGAAGGCAGTTGATGTTTTGTGGCATCAGCACAATCCTTATGTGAGGGTTTTTTTCATCATAACAGCTTTCTAGAACATTATAATAGCTATGACTTGGGCTTAATTGAAGATCTGGAAACACAGCTTTCATTGGCTGGGAACTGGATAATAGAGGGAGAACTGGATGATCTTAAAGGTCCCATCCAACCCAAGCCATTCCATGATCTACACATCCCCAAAAAGTCTCACTCCTACTCAGACTTACCATCTTATCCCATTAACTGTCAGTGTGCTGCAGGAACAGAATTTTTACAATCAATATTACAAGTAAGACACTCAAATTTGACTCCATCCTGCAAAACCCACAGCAGATTTTGAACTTTCTTCTGCCTCCTGCATCAGTTCAGGAACATTTGGATTCTGAGTCCCAGTTCCCACCCCCTTCCAAAAAAAACATCAAGGCTCTTTTGGAAGGGGAAAATTGCCTGTTGGCATCTCACAGATGGATAGGATTTCAGTTTGTTATTTATTTGTAGCAAATCTGTTATTTAAGCAAAACAGCTCTGGCAAAGTTTAATTGTGAGGTGCTGGGAACACTCCTACATAAGTCTCTCTGAGGCTTTTGGCTGCAATGCCTTCCCAAGGGCACAGCAGATTTATGGTTGAATTAACCACTGGCTTTTTAGGTACCTGAACAGAAAAATGGGCAAAGTGTCTTAAATAATTCCCGGCGCTGACAAAAAGCAGGAGGTGGAAATGGACTTTAAAAGAACCCAACCCTGCCTTGAAGGGCTGAATTAGATCCATTTTATGTCTATATAAATTCTCTAGCCATGCTCAGGGAAGCAGAAACTTAACCCTTGATGTGACAGGTTTCAGAAGGCTCAGCTCACACGTGGTTTTTTGGAGCATTCCTACAGTTTGTTGTCCCAGAGCAGGGACAGGACCCAGGGAATGGCTGGAGCTGTGTCAGGGCAGGGTTAGGCTGGATATGAGGAAAAGGTTCTTCCCCCAGAGGGTGGTCAGGCACTGAACAGATTCCCCTACAACAATCAGATTAAAATGCTATTGAAAGGTACTGCTAGAACTAGCTGGGAGCTGGACTCTTCCTACATTGGGTAAATAATTATTCACAGAGGGAGTTCTTGCTCCTTTATGCATATTAAGCAGACTGAGGGAAGTGCAGAGATTAAAGGAGCAGAAATTATTTGCAAAACGTGGCAATGCATCACCATGGGCAGAAAATGGACCAAGAAGACCTGCTCAGAGCAAGATCAGACACTCAAGGTCTGGCATAGTTTGGAGGAGATCCACAGCACAAGAATGAACTGAGGATAGAAAGAAACCCCCTTGCTAAGCCAGCAGTGTAAGCAGTAGTGTTTGGGGATGCAAACCAAAGGGGACCTGACTGTCACTCCTTGCTTTTTGGACCTAGTCTTGGGAAGATCAGCTTTCCTAACATTTGTCTTGTCTCTTCTTTCCCAGGGAAGGCTCCCATGCCACGGCCTCACTACAAACCCCAAGAACCCAACGGCTGTAGCTCCCATTTTCTGGGGCTCAAGGTACCCGAAAGTGTATGTACTATCTCACCCACCAATCCCAAAGGATGCAGCTCTCCATCACATCACCAGCTCATCATTCTGGGCAAGGAAAAGGCTGGGCTGGGCTGAGCAGCTCGGTGACAATAACCTGTGTGCACACAGCAACACCTGAGTGCATCCTCCATACCTGCCCCTTCACCTCTTCCCACCTTTTTGCCTCTGCCAAGCACTGAATGAAACCCACAGGCTTTAATACTGCACCTGCTCGTTATATTAAAGGCAATTAATGAAATAATATTGGAATCACCAGGAAAAGTCTTCCCAGGAGGCTCTCAGAGCAGGGAATCCTATTTAGCTCATGCATTATTACTGCCCACGGAGTCTGCAGCAATTAGGCAGATTCTTGCCCTGACAATCGCTCTCTTTGCAGCCCATTTTTCATGTTAGGTTTAATTCCTGAAACTCTATTTCACTGCAAACCTTGTGGGCATTTCTGTGGTGCCTACTCTGCACCAGGCAATTGCAAGTGCAATGAAGGAACAATTAATCTAAATTTTACATGAGGAAGGGCAAAAAGAGGAATAATTCATAACAAGCTAACAAGTACAGTCTTTCCAGGAGACAGGCCTTCTGCTCCATCACCTCCAGGGTCATTAGCTAAGCTTACAGGGAGCACAACTCCCCTGACCATGCTGTGTTTGTCCTTGGCCTCAATTGCATCTCTGAGAAATAAGGCATTAGAATACTTATGGCATGTTTATTAGCCCAAAAAGCAGGACCTTGTCAGGTTGTGGGAAAAAGAGGAAAAGAGAAAAGGGGCCTTTGCCACTGTTGGCAAGGACATGGAGCTCTCTGACAAATGAAACTAGAAAATGGTCATGGTGGGGCTGCTTCCCACCTCTCTGCCAGACGCTGATTCCCTGGGACACAGAGAGGAGAAGAGAATGGGATGAAGTCTGCACTGAGCCTGAACCACGGACACCACTGGGCTGCTCCCTCATCCTTCTTTAGATGGTGAGGGAGCAGCACACATTCCCTCCTGCTGCCCCAGCTATCAGGAATAGCTTCTGGAAAAGGAGCCAGCTAGACCTCACCCCATCACAGCTGTGTGAGCCTGAGGCCAGAACCCAGCCAAGGGACACCTCTTTTCTCTTTCCCCAGCTAGACTTGGGCATCCCTGCCATGACCAAGTGCTGCAACCAGCTGGACATTTGTTATGACACCTGTGGGGCCAACAAGTACCGCTGTGACGCCAAGTTCCGCTGGTGCCTCCACTCCATCTGCTCCGACCTGAAGCGCAGCCTGGGCTTCGTCTCCAAGGTGCAAGGTAGGACCCTGCCTCCCATCCCCGGTGCAGGGAGCCCCTTCCTTGCCAAAAAGATGCACAACTCTGCAGTAGGGAGCAGCATCTCCAAACTGCATTTGTCACAGGTGGGTGAGAACACAGAGATCTGCCCCCTCTGCCACACACTTCTGTCTCAAGGCTGGAGACCTACAGTTATTTGCATTTAGAAAACATTACAATGTGTGAAAAAACCCACAAACAACACTGGATGTAATTCCTTCAAAACTTGGGAGGCAGTCCCAGACACCTTAAGGGGACACATAAAAGCCTTACAGGGCCAGTGAGACACACACTTGAAACCTTTACGTGGCCAGGGGCCAGCAAAACTGAGAGAGCCAAGGGCTCTCAGGGATCTGGTCACAGATAAGAGATGATGATGGCACCAGGGACACACCAGTCTGGGGAGTGGCTGAGCCACTGCAGGCAGCTCTGGATGACTTAGAAGTGCTAACAAGCTCTAGAGATGTGCCAGCAGCTCAAGTGCCACCCTGGTTTTGCCTAATTTAAAAAGCCTCAGCCTAGAAGTCTGAGAAGAGCTTTTTTGGTAACCTCTGCTGACCCTCTGCTCTAAGGTATCCTTAAATATGCATTTGTTTTCCAAAGGTGCAGCCTGATTAGGACACAGGGGAAGTCTGCAGCACTAGTGCAGATAGCTTCCTACCTGGTCACAGATAAATGCATGGAAAGAGTGCCCAGGCCAGCAAGAGAAATCAAAGACACGGATTGAGATTGAGATGCTACAGGCTGAGCACAGCCAATCTTTCATGGTCACCCTTATCAACAGCTCCTCACACAGCCAACTTCTTCCCATCTCTTCAGATTTTCCACTTTTTCATATGACTCCCTCTTGCTCTCTGCTTGCAGCAGCAAAGCAAACCTAGATCCTAGGGAGTTAAGGTGGAGCAGAGCCCAAACTCCTGGGCTGAGCCAAGCCACCTCTGCCAGGCAGGAGCAGATTCCTCCAGCATCTCTGTCCTGGCTGCTGTAGGAGGCACAGGTGAACCTCTGAGCCATCCTCCCCTCACCTTGGGCTCTACAGATCCTGTCCCCAGGGCTGCTCTGAGTAGCTCCTGTCACAGCCCTCCTCCTCAGCCATTCCAGCTCTTATCTGGCATTCAAAACCTGGGTTTTCCCACTGACTCACCACAGCCTCTCCAGTGCCTGCCAACTGAGCAGCCTCCTGAAGGAACAGGAGCTCTGAGGTGTTTGGAGAGGCTGAGATAGGAGAAAACAGTCCCAAAGGCAAGGCTTTCCCAACTTCATCATGCATACAGCTATCAGTGTTGCTGCCAGTAAATAAACCCTAAAGACCTAATATTAACCTATTGATTTACTGACAAGCACTTTCAGGGTTGTTTTTGGGATGTGGAGGGGCTAGTAGTCAAGCAGTCAGCTGCTCCAGCTGCTGTAAGATTTTTCATGCTGGCTGGCAGCTGGCATCGTAACTCCCAAAAAAACCCAGAAATGTTGGTTAATAGTGGCCATAGGCAAAACTGAGAGGAGAAGTAATAATGTAGGGGCCTCCTGGGAAATCTGTTCGGTAAACAGTGCTGTTTGCAGAGCCCCAGATGATCCATCAACCAGTGGAGCATCAAAGAGGCAAGAAAGGAGGGGTTTAGGGGGTAAGAAATTAATGCCACCCTGGAGAGAAGAGAGGAGGGAACCTCAGGATTATAAAAATGCAGTTCTCAGAGAGAAAAGATGACAGCCCATGCTTCCAATGGCAAACCCCATGGAGTTCAGTGCAGGGCTCGGGCCGGGGAGCTCAGGGTTTCCTGTCCTTACCTGGCCACCCTGTCCTTCTCCACAGCCTGTGAATCCATGGCAGACACGGTGTTCAACGCCGTGTGGACCCTGGGCTGCCGGCCCTTCATGAACAGCCAGAGGAGCGCCTGCATTTGCAGCGAGGAAGAGCGCGACGAGCTGTGAGCCAGAGCAGCCACCCAGTGCCCCTCTGCAGCACAGTGACTCCTGCCAGCCCTCGGGATGGGCACCCACGGCAGCCTGGGGCACGGCAGAGCCAGCCCACGGACAGAGGGCAGCCGTGCCTGCTGCCCGCCGCAGATGCAGCTCCACACCCCCACAGGATCCCAGGCCAGTTCTCTCCAAGGCAAGCAGGACGCAGAGCTGCTTATAAACACAAGACTTACCTTAAATACGTACTATTACCTCCCCCCACCCTGTAACTCCCTAATTTGCAGTGCAAGGCATTAGGTTTCTGCAAGCCCTGTGAAATTCCCAGTCCATGGATATGCTATGTACATTTTTGCACTGCTGGTGACAGACTGAAGAGGGGTAATTTGCTTTCAGTACATTGCTCACACCCATCTCTTGACACTTTCCATCTTGTCATTACACACCCTGACAACCCTGCATATTTAAATACTTGGTGGATCCTAAACTGATTTAAGACATCTGGAGATTTCTTAAGCATGAGTTAAGCGGAAGGGCTTGAGGTGTTTGTGGTACACAATTGATATTCAGGACCAAAGCCCACCGTTTATCAGATGTGAAATCACAGCCCTCTCCCCCAGTCTCAGGAGAGGAAGCCACTTTTCTTTGCCAGTGTCATCCACTGGCATCTATTTAATTACTTTTCTCCTACAGCATTTAACAAAGCTTTGCCCTCAGGATCCCTTTTTACACAAAATGGCTGGGTATCCACCTCCGTCTCTTGCACAAGCGAAACAGGAGGCTCACAGTGGCCTTGGATGAGAAATTCTGGAGCCTTATCTGTCAGATGACAGGACTTATGTGCTACCTCTGTGGGGCTGCTATCAGCAGCCTCAGACACCATTCCTTCTAAAACTGGTTAATACTCCCATCTGTTATGGAGAGCTTTTGTTGTGTGCAAAACCAGAATTTAAAGTGGTGCATGGCATTTTGCCTCCACAGAACACTGGCAGACAGCTTTCAGCTGGGTTTCTTGTTGGAAGGATGTTGCTACTGGGTGTGTGCGTGCCGTGCCACGTAAATATTTCAGCAGCTCCTGCAAACATATTTATGGTTATGTTCTTCCATCTGCCACGGAGAAGTTAAGGCTGCAAAAGGGTGATTTAACAAGAGTGGAAAGAGTCTGCCTTGGTTGCTTTTCTTCCAGTTTAAATGGGTTTAAAATGTATGCATGGAACTATAAATTATTTAAACCCTGTATTCCTATTCCTGCCAGTCATCCTTGCCTTACAGTGAACAGCAATGAGACATTCAGCTGGCCCCAAGTGGGCTGGAACAACAAGAGCCCCCTGGTATCCAGACCAGGAAAATGGAAGTGACTGCATGAGGTGTACTGGGATGTTTCCTATCACAGAGGACTTCAACACTGCTGGGCTAATGCCACTGGAGAGGGAATTCTGCATTCCGAGATTCCCTGCTCTGTCAGAGCACGAGGCTGGACACACAACCTTGATTATCCAGCTAAGAAACATCTAGTTTTGGCTAGGGATGGGAAGGAAACATTCCTCATTCCAGACACTGCCCAAACTTTGTATTCTGTTGGTGAAATAGTGCTTGTGGCCAGTTGAAATGTGAATCCCCTCCTATGATTAAATGACAAAAAAGAAGTTAAAACAGCTATATTGTCTACATTCAACAGCCGACTGCATGGCAAATATCTTAAATTATCTTAGAGTTCAAGTGATATCAGACTAAAGCCAAGCAACTGCTGGCAGGTGATGACATACACTGGAGAAATCAAAGGGTTCTGAACAAAATCTCTGTACCCAGACACTGATGGTGCTGGAGACATTGCTAAGATAAATCATCATTTCTCCCTGCTTTCAGACCACCATTCATCCCAAAACCCTAGAGACCACCCCAAGCAGGCCAGCTACTGAATAAATTCATTTCTCATTGTGGTAATGTGAAAAACCCCCTAGCAGCTCTACAAGGAAATATCTGAACCTTCAAGTGGTGGCAGTGACTCCAGCAAATAATCCTGTGTAGGAGCAAACCAGCACATGAAACCCAGTAAAACTGCAACCAAACTAAAATCTGCTTCCCCTCCGTGCCACTCCTGCTATCCAGTGATGTACAGCCACGGAAGCAGCTGATCACAGGATTCTCCAGGTTGCTGCATGAACCTTGGGTCATCTTCAATTCCACCCTGCTCTGGACACAAAGACACCACTTTGCTCATCCCATGGCTTCCTCTTGATTTTGTGCATCGGCAGGATTGTTTTCAGCTGCAGAGTGGAAAAGCTGCTCCACATGAATTCGTCAGGAAGAACCAAATAATCTGCACAATAACTGACATAAACCAGGAAAGGAACTTCTCCCTCCATTCTCCCCTGACATCCCTTCCATATAAACAAACAAGAGCAGTTGATTCTGTAGAAGGCACCAGATAATTAATTTCATTTCCCAGCTCTTGTTTTATCCAAACAAATATATTTAGTGGAGGCTGCCTGAACAAAGAAGTGACAGTGGGAAACTGCCCCTGTGGTCCTACTGCAGATGTGAATCAGCAGAACAGCAATCCTAGGAGAAACCTTTTTCCTTTCTTTTTCTTTCACATATGGTTGGATAACACACGAAAAGTGTCTTTCCATTTATACGTACTTATCATCATAGAAATATTTTTGTTTACTGTAACACACACACACACACTTATTTCCAAGATTAGAAAAGCAGCCATGAAGCTATTTAGAAAAATCATTAAACTCTCAGCCATTAAATGTTCATTCCGCAATGGAATCTCACTTGCCAGAACAAATAAATCTGTGAAATAGGTTGAAATGTTTGAGGTGATTTGTGACTCCTTTCTAAATGGTCCCTTCAAACGGATTCCACTCCCATTTGAGAGCAGCAGCAAATTTTGGCTTTTGCAGTAATGTGGCTGCTCCAAGCAAAGCAGAACACAGGTGATGAAAGTTAGGGAGCTTCCAGCAGACCTCCAACCACGCAGGACAGAGCTGCACACTGAGGAACTTCTTGTAGAAAACCCTGGGAATGCACTGCAGAGCCACTGCCACCAGTGGAGACGGATCCTTCCCCTCATCCTCCAGCCCTGCCTGTCCCATGTTGTCCTTCACTGCTGGCTGTGCTTCCTCCCTTCCAGCCCACGCCCCTAATCCTTTACCACACAGCTCAATGAACCTGAGCCAGAGGAGCTGATCAACATCCATTGGATTTTCTTCAGAAGGAGCTTGGCAGCCCGAAAAGATTCCTGAGAACAACGATGCCACCACCATCACCAGTCACTGTGTCCCCTGCCACGTCCACTCAGACAATGCTGCCACGTCTCCTGTCACCAGGCTCACTGGGGACAGCCCTGTCCTGAGAACTGCCCACATTACCAATGATTGCTATAAATAATTAATGCGCATTCCTCTAATCCTCTGTTGGAACCACGGCCTTGCTAACCAGGGCAATGCATCACACCTTCCAGACAAACACTTGGCAGCAGCATGCATGGGATGGGGCTGTTTATACATGTTTAATGGTGTTTCTCTTACAATCAAGGTGCTATAACAGCACTTAGGAAAGGCATTTTTGGTGGTGGGAGAAGAAGGAGAAGAATAATGATACACTAAATACAGGAGGAAACACTATTAAACTTCATGCAATTATCAAAAGCCACTAAAAAAACCCTCAAATCTCATTAAATATCTTTTGCTATTTAAAATCACAGTTAAATGTGCCTGTGATAGATCTGAGGTTTAGCTGCCTGTAATGACAATTGCATCGCTCCAAGGAACTTAGACATGATGAGATATATTTTATACATGTTTTTATTAACAATCACCTGAAATCTCCAGCATCACTCACAGAACTGCATAGCAAACACACTCAGCTATGATACTATTTGTACTGTCTGATGCAAGAAGGGCTTGGATAACATTTGTTTAGTCAAGGACAAACAGTCCTAGGGCCTGTAGGTGGATGTAGGGAAAGGCAAAGTTGGGTAACATTTCTGGCCTGCAAAGAAACAGGGTCCCTGCAGCTAAGGGATTGTTGGGAAGAAATGCAGATAAAAGCAAACTGTTCTGCAGTCCGGGTCACACTCCAAGGGCTGCCTCATGGGCCCAAACCACTTGACAAATAATCACCACAGAGTTAAGGAAATGAGTCCTTGACGTTCAAGCAGGGCTTTAACAAATACCTGTGGTTTCTCAACCACCACAACAGAAGGCAGTGATAAGGAAGGCCAGGGATGCTGTTCCAGAGGGTGGGTGTCAGTCATCAAAGTCGATCCTGATGGGGCCTCCTGTCAGGATGTGGTTTGACACGTGAACAGATTCCTTGTCCTGCTGCTCCTCCTGTTGCTCGGCCGACCTGCGCACGCGTCTCCGGCAGCCCTGGGCGCAGCGCGAGGTCTCGTCCAGCGCCCCGCACACGAGGATGCGGCAGTGCAGGAACACCTCCTGGGGTGGGGACACAGCAGGAGGGTCAGTGCACAGCTCTGACCACTGGCACTGCTGCCAGGGCCAGTGCCACAGCATTCCTGAGGCACACGGTTCGTGTCCAGCATCGCCGCGTTCGTGTCCAGAACGGCCGCTCCGTCTGTTTCCTGAGTACTCTCTCCAGAGAGCCCGGCTGAGGTCTCAGAGGCAAGAGTAGGGAGACAGGGAATAGGAAGGTGTGAAATGATCCTCCAGATGAAGGGATGAGAACAGCAGGAATCAGCTCAGAAGAGCTCACAGGGACTGGTAGAAGCTGCGTGTCGAGAATGCGAGCCTTGCAAGGATTGATGGAGACATGCAAGAGAATTTCAAGTGAGCTGGGCAAACAAAGCCAGAAAACCAAGGGGAAGAAGGAAGAAAACACAGGGTGTTGAGAGGGTAAGCTGAGGGAACAGGAAGAATGCAAAGAGCAAGGAGCCAGCTGCCTTTTCTCCTGGCACAGCACAGGCAGTGACAGGATTGCTGCTCCCTGCCCTGTAAATGACCAGGAGAGCAAGCAAGATCCCTGCAAGCAGCAGCCACTAAGACTTGGAGAGGTTTGAAGCAGAATCCATTGTGCAGGATGGGAGGATGCAGGTTGGAAGCAGCAGGGGTATTCAGAAAGGCAAGGAAAATTTCTGAATTTTAGAAGATCTCATCTGTTTTAACCCTACTGGGGCTCTCCAGTAGCTGGAGCAGCAGCTTTATACCTTTTGGAGCAGGCAGTGTTGGCTGAGCATAGCAATGACTGGAAGATCCAATTTCCTCCAACACAGAAAGGAAAGCTATTTGCATTAGGAAAATGGCATTATCCCTGCTGCCCTAGAGAGACAGCCTGGTTTCACAATGAATTAAACAGTATAGTGGCCTTCTGTCTGGAGTGCTGGCACCTGAACTCACGAGAGCTAGAGAAGGCTGAAGAGATCCCAAACTAAAAACTGTGTTGTTTTAAAGAAAGGGCACTGTGAAATGTGACTGAGAACACATCTCTCACCCAGCAAACAAGGGGCCACCAACACCACCCTGGAAGCAACAACAATTTTAGTCTGCTGTGGCACTGATGTTCCAAAACTGTCCTTCATATTTTAATTATAGTTGTTTTTATCAATCTCTCCTGAAGTACCTTTCTCAAACTCCTGTAAGGTGTAACTGCTGGAATAGGCACAGCAGAACCTGCCTTGGGCCAGCCACTGCATACCCTTTTCCAGCTTGGTGCTGAGGCTCCTCAGTCATATCAAAGCTGATGAAATATCTAAGAGCTGAGTTTTGATCTTACCTTGTTGTCTTTGCCCACAAACTTGAACACAGGAACCTGGAAGTGCTTGGCAAGATGGTCCTTTGACGTGTACTGCTTCACGGAATCATCAGAAACACAGCTGAGGAGAGCAGAGGGATAGGCTTTAATGGGTTTCCCAGAAATGGAAAAAAGAAAGAGAAAAGACATTCCAGCCTACTTAACCAGAGAAAGAAAAGGAGGGATTGGTTCTCTCAGGCTCAGCTACCATTTCTGATACTTCCTCTTTGGCCACAGGAGAAAAGTCAGGAATGATGAGGAAAAGCAGCAGCATTGCTAATAGCATCTCCAGACAGGGAACAGCTCAGCAGCAGAGGGCTGGCAGGACGTGGCCCAGTCCCTCAGAGAGGGACTGCCAGTGAGCTGCAGGCACGTCTGTCCTCATTTCACCTCCCTGTGCAACAGCCCGCAGTGTTATACACTACAGAATGTGCCATGCACTCACTCTATACACATAGATATGCACATAAATTATGCTTAAAATGAATCAGCCTGCACTCACATTACTAAAATATGACAGATGATGGAAACAACAAAAATCTAGGTTTACTTTGCTTTATATCATTTACGTTTTTCTTCCTGCTGGATTTGGTCAAACAGCCTTAATTCACTGCACCAAAAATTTATAATTTCAGTTTTTCCCATTGCTAGCAATGCATGTAAGTAAGAGAGGTCACAGAACTGCAAGAAAATAAGCTGCTTTTATAACAAGCTACATTCCAGGTACAGTGTATTTATAAACTACTGCAGCCTATTTAGAGTTTGACAGACAAAGTTATGGTGGCTCAATAATTACTGCTGATTATTGCAAAGCCTTGGGCATCTTGAGACGCTCTGATGCTGCTGTGAAATTGCATTGCAATGTAGCTTGTCCTTTTTAGCAAGTTAATGCCAAAAATGTGGACTTTGAAAGATATAAAAAAACCAAAAAACAACAAAACCAAAGCAGCAGTGGAAGAGACAAGAAGTACTGGTGGTGTAGCTCAAATCCTTGCTCTTGCAGCGAGCTTCAGCTCCCATCTTTACACGAGAAATGTGCATGGCACTGTCAGCAACGCTGATGTCTGACATGTTCAGCTGTAAAAGAGCAGTTCTGCCTTCACTGGAACGTTTGGGAATCTCTTAAGTTGCCAAAATTCCTTTTTAAACAAGGCACATGATCATAAGGAATGACAGTTAAAGACTTTTTATAGGTGAGTGGCCAAGCTCTAGGGCCATGAAGTCAATTCACAGGCATGTTCTCATTTGTGAGCACATAAACTGTGATGATTATTGGACACTGGATCAAACTGACTCCTAAATCCCAGGTTCTCCAAAGGTTCTCCACACTGGTGGAAGGAAACCTACTGATTTGGGGCTGGGGAGAGGGAAAGTGGAAGAACACCACAAATGAATCAGAGATACATACACAAAACCAGCTCAGACACCTCATGACTCACATGGGCACGTCCTTTTGCATTTGAGGGGCCAGACTACATCCCATTCTCCTAGGAAAAACCCCAGAGACCCTGCTGCCCACTTTGGAGAGGTGAGAAGAGACAGGTACGGAATGAAAAGGGGTGGGCCTGGTCAGGATATGGGGAAAACCACCCTATCCCTGTGCAGAATGTGCTTAGGTTTGGGGAGCAGAGCAGCAGTGCCATGGCAGCTGTGCTCTGACCCTCTTATGCAGGGTTGCAAGGCTGAAAGGAAGGCTTGCACAGTGAAATATCCACCTCAGCCTAGCAAACAGGGCAGCCTGACACATAAGACAAGCTCTGCAATGGAACTACCTTAACCACCCCGTGCTCTGCTGAACCACAGCTCCTGAGCTCAGCAGTGACATGACCTGGCTCCAGATGCCCCAGAGAGCTCCAGTTTTTATCAGCTGGGCCATCGGTCACTGCCTTTGTTCCACTCTGTTCTCAGAAGGCAGGGAATTAACAGAGAAGAGAGCAGCAGAGGGAATGTCCCCATTCCTCAGTCCAAGGTATATCCCCCTCCAATATAAACAGTGTTTCCCTTTGGATTATGCAGTTAACTCTTGCAGGTCTGATCCTACATAAACTGATAAAAAACCC